TGATCCTTAGGTAAAAACTGAGACTGAGGGGAACACAAATGCTTCCAGTCTGGTGTGTTATTTTTGGACATCAGGAGGCTAAAAGGACAAAATTAAAAAAACAAAAACTTTTATTTTTTTAATGGAATTTCTATAGGCTGCATAAGTGCTCCCTAAGAGCAGGGATCTCTTGTTTAAATTAGATTAAAAAAGCCCYTGGAGCAGTTCTCCAGGGGTCAGTCTTGGACTTAGTTTAGTCTGTGAGTCTGTCCTGATGTGTTTGCATTGGATGCTCTTTGTTTTGTTTCCCTGCAGTATCCTGAAGGATATTTGGAAGCTGTTGCAAACAAAGATAAGGAAAAAGAAAATAGTGGAGATGATGAGTTTGATACCCCWGGGAAAGGGAAGAGGAAAAGGAAATCAGCAGGTTTGTGGAGTAGGCAAGTGGATATAGAAAACCTTGCAGGTTTTTGTGCATTTTACTTGGTTATTCTTTTCTGGTTGTTTTTTGGTTGGTTGTTAAAAAAAAAAATCTTTGTGTTTTCTTTCAGGTGGGGAGGAAAAACTCGTGGCCTCTCCAGCTGGGACTCCAAAGAAGACAAAAGTTGAGCCATACAAGCTGACATCCCAGCAGAAATCTCTCATAAAAAGCGATGAAGCCAAYGAGAAACTGTGGAATGAAGTCCTTGAGGCTCTCAAAGATGGACCGGTACCTYGGGCTYTTTTCCTCAGAAATAMAGGGACAACTGTAATTGTGTTACACAAATCCCTTGGCTGACCTAAAGAAYAGCCTCAGCCCTAAAATTATTTTATTTTASTGTAAACACTCCAGTGTGTTTAATGTGACTATTTATTGTGCAAAGATTTGTAAAACAACTTGCAACGATCGAAGTAATTCCTTGCATTTAAAGGGTGGGGGTTTGGGTTAATTTATGAAATTATCTGCAAGATAATTATCTGAAAGATAACATCAACAATAAGTTGATCCAAATATTCTCTCTGCAGAAATTTCTGAATAAAGTGGAGGAGGCCTTTCTGTGCATTTGCTGTCAGGAGGTTGTGTTCCGGCCGGTCACCACCGTGTGCCAGCACAACGTGTGCAAGGTGAGCTGGGCTTTGCTGAGCCARGCTCTGCTGAGCTGGGCTGGGGCTGACAGGGAGGTTTGGTTTGTTTGCGTTTTTAATCAGGATTTTGAACCTGAGTCAGGTTTAGAGGGACTGGAGTGGCAGTGCAAGGGGGAATGGCTTCCCACAGCCACAGGGCAGGCTTGGATGGGATTTTGGGAAGGAATTCCWCCCTGTGGAGGAGAGGAGACTCTGGAATGGAATTCCTGGACGTGTCCAAAGCCAGGCTGGACAGGCTTGGAGCAYYYTGGGASAGTGGGAGGTGTCCCTGCCATKGCAGGGATGGCMYTGGATGGGATTTAAGATCCTTTCCAACCCAAACCARGCTGGGATTCCCTGATCTCTGCYGTGTCCAGCAGGAAYGTTCTCTGTTGTTTTGTTTCCTCCMCTGCCTTKCYCTGCTSTGGGATTTCGGGGTGGTCTCACTCCATCCAATCCAAACTCTCTGACCCTCTGCTGCTTGTGTCCCCCCCAGGACTGCCTGGACAGGTCCTTCAAGGCCTCGGTGTTCAGCTGCCCCGCGTGCCGCTACGAGCTGGGCTGTGGTTACAGCATGGAGGTGAACGAGGCCCTGCAGAGCATCCTCACCCAACTCTTCCCCGGCTACGGCAGCGGCCGGTGATCCCCCAAAGCACTTCTCCCTCCCCACACCTACCCACGGGCTTAATTTAAAACAACAACAACAACAACAACAACAACGAAAAGGTAGTCTGTTCTTTTCTCCCCTCAAAAATAATGGTTTAAAGTCTTCCTTTGTTTTTTTAAAAAAAACTGTAAACTCCAAGGATTATCCTTCTGTACGTTCGTGGATTTTGTTTTCGTTCTCTATGTTGAACTTTGGTTTTTAATTTTTTTTTTTTTTTCCATCCCCTCAAA